TCCTGCTGCTGATTCCTCATCTTAATAATAGTCTGCCTCATCACAATTTACTTGATTTAGAATTTGGGAGTCTCAGTACAAAATAAACTTCAGTAACAGATGTGTACTATAAAAGTATGGATAATAAATGTCACAGGCCTTTATCATTGTTTAAGAAAAAAATCCATGAGAGTTCGCCTACTATTAGGACTGAGATAATAGTGAACTTTACTAAAAAGCAAAGTAACTTATTTAAATTAATATGCCTGCGTAGTACATGTAGTTTTGGTTTATGTGAGCAGCGTTCAGGAATTTGGGGGTGTCAGTATATCTGCACACAACCAAGAAAAATACTTGAGTTGTAATGCATAAGTCAGGTTTCTTGCACCTTGAAAAACTTGTGGGTGGGGGAAGAGAGCTTTAATTCACTTTGTCCTGTCCCACACCCATTTAAGAGGAATTGCTGCTATTCAGTAGCTAAAATGACTTGAGTCTGTTCATGACTTGCAGTCGGATGGAGTTTTGTTTTCTTACTCTGGCATGCAGAGCTCTAAAAATCCACCACATCCTGTTGATTCATCAAATTGATTTTTAGTGCAAATGTTGCTAGTCATACCACTGGCACTCATTTGTTCAGCTTTGCTCCTAGGCTAACTAGGTCAATGGAAGGTGAAAAACTTGGGGAGAGGGAGATTGATGGAGCCTGCATTCCCTGAAGGGGCTGAAAATTCCACCAACTGCCCACTTTGATCATGTGTGATCTGGAGGAAGTAGTCTATTCCTCAAACTGAGACTTGCCAACGTGCAAGTTGTAATACTTTTTTTTAACTTGGCTAGTGATTTTTTTTTTTTTAATAAGAAAAATATGAGAACCACGTGTGATTTACAGTACGTACAGTTTTCCATACCCTTTTAAACAAACAAGGTTCTTTGCGTAAATCTGATATATTTTATTAGACAAACCCAAATAGTTGGAAAAATTCTTCATTGCAAGCTTTCGGGTACAAATACCCTTCGTCAGGCTGAAGAAGCATCTGCAGTTCACTGCAGTTCAATTGCAGATGCTTCTTCAGCCTGACAAAGGGTATTTGTACCTGAAAGCTTGCAATGAAGAATTTTTCCAACTAAGAGTTGGTCTAATAAAAGATATCAGCTTTACCCAAAGAACCTTGTCTGCCTACATGGGCACCTGGTGCCTCCTGATCCTGGGGAGACACCAGCAGACAATTGCCAACTGGGGGGAATCCCCCAGTAGCCGATTGCCAGTGTCAAACCCAGAAGTGCCACTGGCGGTTCTCTTTGCCGGCCCCCCATCTT